CCGAAGCTCGCGGCAATAATAGGAAGAAGCAGGTTTTTTCAAATATATTATATTTATCTGTGTGCTATATGGAAAATCCTGCTGAAAAGCGAAACGTGCGCAGCAACAGCGAGAGACGCAAATTTGCACGCAACGCTTGGCTATTTTCCTTACACCCTGCTAAGGGATAACGAACCGAACAACAACCAAACAAAAAGAAGCAAACAACCACGCACAGCACACCAAATGCATGTCAATGAGTCTGCTGCTCCAATTTTGTGCGTCGACAAATATTCCCGTTACATACGCAAAAATGCTGGTTGTCGCTTTTTTTTTTGTTTACGAACTTTTTTGATGTTTTGTTTTCTTTTTTTCTGTTTTTCTGTAGTTTATTTAGTGTGCTTTTTTGCATTGTTGCTGGTGTTTGTCAAAGGCACATAACATGACAAGCTGCTGATGAGGCGAACGACGTCACGCAGCCAACGCACAAATAAGCAGCGCCGAACAAGTGACAATATCAAGTGAACTTGCGAGGGTGGAGAGCGGTGTGAGTGCGCTAGCAGTCCACAAGAAACTACCAAGAAGATAACAGGAATATAGAGCAGCGAGTGTTTTTTTTTATTTTTTATTTATTTTTGTGGAAAATAAACGAAATTGGCGAGAAGTTGCTAAAAGGATAATAAGAACAAGCTACTATGGCGGTTTTACTGTCTGCGCGCTTTTGGCGTCTTAAGAAGAGTACATGGAGTATACTAATACAAGCGTAAAATATTTACATTCATATTTTACTATGCTTGTATTTGGCGAGATTTCTTCATACTATAAATGGCATAATGAGCGGAAACTGTGTCACCATTAAAGAGTCGCTGAGGGCAGGAGAAGAACAAAGAGCAGCAATCACAGAAGTTTAGACACAATAAAAATGGTAATACCAATATACTAAACGCAAGATATCTCCAAATATATATTTGCGTTAAAATAAAGCAACAACAAAAACTAAGAGAGCATAGTCACCGCGCACTAACACATTGAAAGTTCGCTGCAAAGTCGTATAAGCAGGAAAAGCCGCAATCAGCACCAGCTAGCGAACAGCTGTGCGCCAACACGCTGACGCGTTACGCACGAACGCACCAATAAAATGACAACAATAACAACAAAAACACCATATATATATTGTGCGAGAAAAAATTCCAATCAGCAGCGCACACCGTGGCAGGCGACAACGCAGACAACGCAATGTCAGCAACTAAGCGAAAATTGCTGTAAAGCAAAGCGAATGACAGAAAATGAAACGAAACGAAAGATGTTTAGCAAGTAAAATGAAATTACGAGAAAAAACGTAAAATAAAACAGCGCACAAATAATATACGAGCAAAAGTTGGTGCGTAGACCAGCATGGCTGGTGGACTCGTAAACACAACGCCAGCATACAAATACATGAAAAATATGTATGTGTGTGTTTGTATATGTGTGCATGCCGGTTATGGCAAGGGCGTCAGCATACAACGGGGATGTTGCTTAGATAAAATAATCAATGAAGGGTAGAAATTGCTGATAATACGGAGACAACAAGCGATTACGTAGAGCGCGCGCATACATACAAATATATGCTGACACATAAATATAAATATACAAGATACAACATACGCTGACACAAACACATATAAAAATACAAATATATATATCTAAATTTTTCAACACATACACACAAATACAAGTAATGCTAAAACACATCCAGTACACGCAAGCGCTACAGTGCGCTATGCGTGGCGTTAAATGTGTGTAAGTTGTAGCGTATGTGCGTAAATGCGCCGTTAGACGAACTAGTACATCAATAGCTTGTGTTATCTAGCAAAAATAATATGAACAAACGCGCTCTAGATCAAAATAAAATAATACAACTTGAAATAGGCAGATAAGAGTCTAAATATAAATGATACGGGTTGGCGTGGCAATCCACTGCCGAACTGCTTACCTCTGCTAAAAGCCTGCTGGTAAGGCTTAGATTGAATAAATACGTAAGTGTATTTGTTGCTGCAAGTTCGTATTTTTGGCTTTAATCTGAGTACGCTAGCGCAATTTTTTAATATTGAAAATTGGTTTAGCACAGGAAATGCTTTGCAAGTAACGGTTTCAACTTGAAATTACCGTTAGCATTTCTTTGCCTTGCTGCTGCGTTACGTTAAATTTAAGTATTATAATGATTGTGAGTAAAGCGCTTAGTCAGCGAAAATTTTAAAGTAAAGCGTTATATCTACAGGAAACATGGTAAAGCTTTTGGTAGAGAACTCTAAAAAAAAATGTTATGTAAATTTACTTTTATGTGTTTGAAGATAGTTTGGTTTTCACATCTCATATGAGTTGAGTTTTTGCTATGGGTAATGTAAAAATATTTGACATATTTTCTGCGTGATTACTCGCAGTAGAGTTTGCTAAGGTTAAACGCCTGCTTTTCAAAATATGCTTAAGGGAAAAACTGATTTATTTTTATATTTCTCCTACATATTATTGGGTCGCAAAAGCAAAGAAACACTCATAACTGGAAGTATATAATATATTTAGTAGATATAAAATCGAATTTTAATTTAATTTAAGCATTATGGCAAATGTAATTCTTTTTCTTCTTAAAAGCGTACTGCTTATGACGCTAATGTTGGTCTTACGACTTTTATAGTAGTCACTGCAGACGTGTAATAGATAAAATTATTGAGAATAAGGCAGACTTTTTTGCATAGAAAATAAAGCAAAAGTTGGCCTTACGACTTTTATAGTGGGCTTGAAATCACTGAAGACGCAAGAAAGATAATATTATTGAGAGTAATGCAGACTTGTTTTTATAGACAATAGCAAAAAAATTTCAAATGCTTTTAGTAAAGAATGGAGACTGAATAGTCAGAGGCGTGAAATCATTATAATTTCTACTGTTAATAATCAAAAAAAAAAAAAAAAAAACTTCTACTCGACAATCGTGGCTTGATATATATAAGAGACAGTGCAGGCACTTACATAGCATATTTTATTTACCGTTTCAAAATATGTTTTTTGAGTATGGCCAGTGCTGGTTTCTTCCTTTGTGCGATTGTATTGATTCTTTAGGAGTCTAGTTTCTTTATCTAAGAAAATTAAATTTTTTGAATATTTTCGAAAACTTGTTGATTTCTCTTAAGAAAATATCTGATTTTCTAATATATATGTGGAGTTTTATACTACGTAAGATTAGAAGCAAATAGTGCTGTGTGCATACAAATAAGTTAACAGAAGCTTGAAATTATGTATTTTGAAGTAATTTTGCCAATTATTGAAGTTTAGGGTGAAGAGAGAGTGAATATAATACCAAATAACAATTATTAACAATATATTTCGCAATAAAGTTTTTGAAAATTTTTCAAGATAGTCTAAATGAATTTTTAAGCTTAATTTTCTGTATTTTTTTCGCTTGATTTCTCTAAAATATTCGCTATATAGCCAAATATTATTAAAGTTCCACATAATTTTGCACAACGTCTCTAGCGATATCCAAAATAATTTTTCATATACGCCACTAAAGCGCAAATATTCTTTAATTGAATAATAATCATCAAATAATTAATAAGCATATCCCTCATTATTGCCAAAAATTAATTTCACGAACACTAAACAAACAAAATCAGTAATTTTGTATATGTTAATAATATTGACCTGTGATGTCTAGATTTATGCTACGCTGTCAAATTTGCAACGCCCATTTATCTACCGAAATATGAAGAGGGCAGACAGCCAAAATAAAACAAAATCAGTTGCTTATACTCAAATTGTTAGACAAGACTAAACAAGACATTTACTCTGCCGCCCAAGCAACACAAAAGCAAACGCACACACACACACATACTTAGCTTTAACTTGTGTTGATAACACTTAACAAAGCTTGGGTATATAGAGTTGTTATTGTGGGTGCCGTAAGTAAACTTCATAAGGCTGCAGCGCAGCGATGATTAATTATGAAAATATGTTGCCTTTGATGGGGCAGCGTAAGGCGTAAAGCAACAATGGGCAGGGTTGTGGAGCAGCTGGGCGAAAAGTAATATGGACAGCCGTATTAAAAAAAAAAGCGGAAAGCCAAAAATATGTGGCGGACATGCTAATAAAAAGGCAAGTAAATGCAAGTATGTGTGTTTTTCAATAAAGCTGCGCTACATTTGTGCCTATGCCTGTGTGAGCCAAGCCAGTAAGCCTAGCGGTCTCTGTGTGATTTGTCGTACATTTTCGTACTTTTCTGTATCGGTATTGGTGCAAACCAATGGCGGCACGCTCGCTATTGTTATAATATATATTTCTTTATATAGATGTATATATATATATATATATATCATTAAGACATTTAGTTTTATTTTTTAGCAGCGCAATGTTGTTGTTGTGTTTTTGTATGAGCTCAGTTATTGTGTCAGTTGCTTAGTCAAAGTCACATATTATGTTGTCATTACGTGACTACACGAGAAGATTTATTACATTTTATATACTTTTATAAGCGCCACACCCCAACCTGACACGCACACACACCTACAAATATTCGATAGAAAGCATAAAACACATTGGCGATTTTTTGCTGCTGTAGGAATGTGTATTAAAGCCTTGGAAGAAACTTTGGCACCATATACCCTAAAGTTATGCTACGCAATTGCATGTAAGCAATCAGCCGCCTTACTATATGCTATGTTTTTGTATATGTGGCACATTGTTGAGATTGTAGCGCAATAAAAGTGGCAAATTACAGGTTAAAAAAGTTGTAAGAACTAGAAATAAAAAAAAGGTTTGTTTTTGTTGTTTGTTTTGATAACTGTGTTTCCATATATGTACGTAGGTTATAAATATTAACACATACATTAATTTTCGCCAAAATTCTAATTTCTGCTCTCTGGCTTTTACTTAAACTGCTTCTCTAATTAATTTCAAATTTTCAATTTATTTGCTAATTTCAAATAAAATATTTTTTTTTGTGTTTTGTTTTATTTTCTAGATTTGCATTATTTCTTCGGTATACTCACAGTAACTTGTTGAGCAAACTCAACCTTCGGCTGGCCGACCAATTCAATAATATGAACCATATGGAACGCTTTTTTCTGCACTAACACTGTTGTTGATGAGCGATTTTTTGCTCTTGCTCTTAGTTGTTGTTTATTTGTTTTTGGCGTAAGTGTACTTTGCTGGATTTGTTTTACAAACAACGTATAGTTATCGTTGTTTTTTTTTTGTTTTTGTATTAAATTTGATTTATTTGCGCTCACTTAATGATTATTTATTATTTTTCTCTTTTATTTTGCACAATTTTTTCAACCGAATAATTTTCTCTTTTTTTTTGCTGGTTTATTTGTTTGGTTGTTGTTGTTTATTTTATATTTGTGTGTTTTTTCTAACTTTTGTGTGTTTGGCGTTTTCTGCGCTGTGTGGAAAATGTTCTTTCTGCTACTTTATTGATTACTTTAGTTGATTTCGTTTGCAGCAGAAAATGGCCGCACTTGGTTTTGCACAATTTTTCAGCTTTTTAAGAATATTTATTTTTTCATCGAAATCAATTTTTATTTCTCTATTAAAAAATATGTATCGCTGCAGCGTTTTGATTTAGATGTTGCACATTTGTATTTATCTTTTGTATTTTTATGAGTCAAGTAATGTTGTCACCTGGCAAAATTTATTGTTTTTGTTTTATAAATAACTCAGCTGGTTTTCGCAAAGTATATTTTTATGTGAAATTTAGGTTTTTACTTACTTTTTAGTTTGATTATGAATTTGTGCTATTGTTTGTAGTTGTTTGTAATGTTTGCAGAGTTTATATTTGATTTTAGTTTACTTGTATAAGGTGTGCACTTAAGAAGTTTACTGTTATTTTAAGTTAATGAATTTTCTTTTTTAACAATTTTTTTACCACTGCCGCCTTTGCTGATTTTTTCACACGCACAAATTGTTATTTTAAATTTTATTTTGGAATATCTTCTTAATATTTTTTAAGTGCAGTTCGTTGCTGCCTTTTTTTCTGGTTTCTTAATATTTTTTGTATTATTTATACAAATTTGGTGAAATTCGTTTTCACTTTTGATCAATTGAAATGCCTTTTTGTTGGGAAAAAAAATAGAAAATATTGTTAATTTACAATATACATATGATAAAATAATTTTAGCTTTTGTGTTTCTGTATGCCAAATTTTTGAAACATGTTTCAGTTCAAAATTTTTTTCGCAAAAAACACATGTTTTGATATATATTTTTATTTCAAAATTAATATCGGTTTTAATTCTTTGTTTTATAAAAACACAATTTTAAAAACAATTTTTGCATTTTTGTTTTTTTTTTTGGAAATTTTTAATACATTTTTAACTAATTTTTTCTGAAAATCTTACTTATAAGCTATTATTTGAATTTTATTTAATAAAAATATATAATAAAATATAAAAATATATAAAAATTTTATTATAAATTATTTTAATTTGAAAATTAATATTTAATATTTAATATAAAATTATTTTACTTAAATTATTTTTAAAAGAATTATGTTCACTTAAAATTTTGACTAAAAAAAAAAAAAATTATTTTAATTTTAAAATTAATATTTAATATTGAAAAATTATTTTACTTAAATTATTTTTAATAGTTAACTTAAAATTTTCTTTTAGTCAAAATTTTAAAAAAATTTGCAAAAATACATTTACTGCATAGATTCAAAGCTGAGTGAAATAAACAAATAATTTGTTTAGCCTGAACAAAATATATTTGATTTTGTTCTGAAAACAATATATATATAGAATTTAATATTAAGAACCTAAATAGCATATATAAATTTTTTATTTTAATGAAAAAGATTAATTATTCCTTAAAATATGTTTTTGTGTAATCTAAAATCATTTTTTAATAAAATTTCGATACTTTTGGAATAAAAATATTGAGTTGAGCACTTTTATTAGTACACTAAAAAGTTTAATCAATACAAATGCTGCATGTCTCGTAGAAAATATTAAAGCTTGTTTTGTGCTTAGTTAAATTTCTAAATTTTAAGTCGAGTCAACGCAATTCGTGAATTGAGTTCGTTTATTTAATGAAGTTTACATAATGAATGGAGTTGTTCTAGTCTAGTTGCTGACTATTTTAAATGTTTAGCAATGGACAGTATAAAGTTTAATTTAAAATCAGTGTCGATTCTTGCGCTACGTTTGATTATATTATTTGAGTTATTCGTTGCTATATAAGTTAACTTAGAATGTACTGCTCAAAGTTTTTAAGAATATTTTTTTCTAAAACCAAGAGACTAAGTTTGTTATTTTGGTTAATGAATTGTATATGTTTTAATGTTGTGAGTTTTTATTTTTTTGAGCCAACGTAGTCAAACTAGAATATTTTTTAGTTTAGTGAAACAAGTAAATTTTTTTAGTTTGCAAGTGTATATGTATAGAATTTAAAACTTAAAGCCTTAGGTTGTGTGCATGTTAGGTTTTAATTATTTTACTTAAAATTCAAACCGTGTTCATTTTAATTTGCACTCATGGGTAATAAGTGAAATATTTAAACTCAGACTTTGAGTTTGAGCTTTATTTCGAGCTTTTCAAGCGCTTTAGTATGCAAAAAAAAACAAATAAAAAAAAACATTTTAAATACAACTTACTGTATTTAAATTTTTTTTTTTAATTTGTTTTTTTTTTTTTTTTTTTTGTTAAGGTTAGATATTATTATTTCTCAAAAAAAATTAGTTTGGTTTTGATAATATATTTAATACTTTTTTTTTTAATTTTCTTTTGATAAGTAAGGAAAAAATACATTCTTTTACAGCTCTGCCATATTATAATTTTTTTTAATGAGAAATATTTCCACATTTTTGTTTTTCCATGCCAAGCACCACCTTACGTGTATTTTCCCTAATTTCCTGTATCTTGATTTCCTGCAAGTGTATTATTAATTTATTCTTTAAACAAAATATTTCTATTATAAAGTAGTATACAGGTGCAGCTACCTTGAAATTTTCCAAAACATTTCAAGCGAGTCATGTGGAAATAGCCAAAGGCATGAAAAATGCGAAACAATAAATTTTCGGCTATAAAATTGCGAAATAATTATGCGCGGAAAACCAATACTGAACACTAAATCACACATACATACTTATAAAATGCAAATTAAAAAAGAAAACCTTGGAAATTTTTATAGGTGAAACAGCGGCAAGTAATTGAAGCAAAATAAAATGTTTGTGAAGAGCAGTGTGGAAAATGCTTTGGAGAAGTGTATATATACATATATATTTACACGATGAAACAGTTTACACAATTCTAAATCATGTGGCAGCTGTGTAAACGTTTTTTCAATCGTTTGAGGCAAATCGAACGCTTAGCAGCGGTTGAAAAGGCATAAGACACTCCAGCATTCGTGAACTGAGGAAAGGCATGTGTGTATTTTTATATGCACACACACTTTTGTATTATAGTACACATATATACAAAACAACATAATATATTTGTATATACAAGTATATGTGTATATATTTATAATGTATATGAGGTAAAAGCGTTTGCTCACCGAAAGCTATGAGACAGCCAGCCATGCTGAGGCATTTGTGAATTAATGATAAATAAATTCAAATTCAAATTGTTTGCATTATAAAATACTAGAAATAATACGTGCCTTTGTTTGAAGGCGAGAAATCAAAGCGAACTATGCAAATGAATGTCCGAAAATTGCCAAGTAAGTGGTGGCGCTGCCTGTGGTGGTGTGGTCACTGCGGTGCAGCCAATCATGTGCAAATAATTTTGCTTTTGTTCGGCTTTAAATGCCAAAATTGATGAGATGCAAAATTTAATTTTGCGTAAGCAGCCTTAGCAACTTGTGCGTTTTAGATTTGCAGGTATTCTGTACAGATTTCGAGTGTTTGCTTTGAAGTAGCTGAAGTTTGGAAAGATTTTCAACGTATTTTAGAAAACTTTTGTTATCGAATGTGTGCTATGAGTTCACAGATTTTCGACTGATTCGACTGAATTAAATTTTGTATTTATGTTTACTTGTTTGCGCTACAATTTTCACTAAAAATTTTTGGAGTAAGTAAGAATTGCTAAGGTTTGGTATTCTATAAATTTTGATGAAAAAAAAATTCTTTAAACCGAATTTCATTGTTCGAATCCATTAAATTGTAGAATTTCGTTGCCCACCTGAAATAAAATTTTGAAAAAACATAAGTTTTTTCTGAGAAAGTTTAAACGCTTAACTAGAATATTATATTTAGATATTTAGGAGTCCAACAATTTTAATTTTTCTTAACGGTACGCGAATGAAGTAAAACAATTAAATTAGAAGAAAAATAATTTCGAAATTACAAAAAAAGAACTATATAGTTAAAAATATTTACATAAATATAATAGATATAAACAAATATAAACATTTTTTTTTATAAATATTTATACTTAATAATTTTTTTCCAAAGTAATATTTGTCAGTATAAAATTTGTTTTTAAAACATTCAAAAGTTGTTTTCGGAAAAAAATTTTAATATTTTAAATATTCTACAAATAAAGTATTAATGTAATATTTATCAGTAAAAAGTTTGTTTGTTATTAAAATATTTCAAAATTGTTTTCGGAAAAAAATTTTAATATTTTCAATATTCTACCAAAATTAATTTATTGTTTGCAAACATATATTGAAATTTTAGAATATTCAAAAATAACACAGCTTAGCTAGTATTCTTAGCGTTACAATACTTAAGCACTTGTGTGAAACTTTTTGGATAAAGTTTAAAATCAAATTTAACTTATTAAATATTTACTATTTTACTAAAAAAAAAAAGTAACTGAAAAAAAATTAAATTTAAAAAATATAAAATTAATTATATTTAAAAATTTAATGTCAAAAACATAAATAAAATTTTAAATTTTAAATTTTTAATTTTATTTATAAAAAATTTTATTTAATTAATATGCTTATTCAAATAAAAAACTTAATTTAAATCTAGTTAATTTAAATTTTAACTTTGAAATAAAAAGTTGCAATTCGTGTAGTATATTTAATGTTTGAAATATATTTAATTTATATTCTAAAAAAAAAAATTATTTTATAGAAAAAATAACCATCTTAAGTATTTTTTATTATTTTAATATTTTTTATTTTTATTAATTTTTTATAGTCAAAAAATTATTTTTCCTAATATATATAACAAATATAAGAATAATAAATAATTTAAGTATTTGCTATTATTATAAAGAAAATTTATTTTATGTTGAGATTAAGTGTTTATTTTTTTGTTTTTATTTGCTTCACAAACATTTTTTAAGTTATTGTTAGTATGTGTGATTGCAACTGGCAGCTGTCACTTCAAAAGCAATAATTTAATATTAATAAAGTATTCAAAATTTTGGTATTAAAATAATTACAAGTTTTTTTATATAAATTATTTGTTTTTTTAAATCAATAACTTTAAAAAACTGTTAGCTTAAGGAAAATTTAGTTTGGTTGTTTACGCTGTAAACTGTGACAGTACTGTTTTAAATTGCTACTTCAAATATAGTGTAAGTTAAAAAATTTTTAAAAAAAAAATTTATGTATAAGAAAAGATTAGTAAAACAGAATTAAAATTAAAAAATAGTTGTTATTTCGTATATTATTAATTATAATTATTTTTCATTATTTATTAATAATTCAAACTAAAATTAAACATGGACCTATATAAACCGATTTCCAAAAAATATATTTTTTAAGTTAAATAACTTTGAAAAATTCAAAACTCTTTTGCTTTACAAGTTTCGATCTAAATATATAAACATATGTATGTTTTCAAAAAAACGAATTTTAAATTAAAACCAAAATAAAAAAATGTACTTAATTTTTGACTACTTGCATGCGCTTTCAGCTGATTTCAAACTCCATTTTATTTCGTAGTTAACACAATATTCAAAATCACTTGCAAAATTTCATTTAAAACCCTGACATTATTGCTAAGAATATAATAAACAAACAAAAACACTCAAAACCCGCTTTACAAGCTTTCGAAACTAACCAACTTTTCCGTTAACCGTTAGAAAATTTTGA